TGAATATAGGTAGCTACTCCTGCTTGTTTTTGACTATTGGTTATGTGGAATATCACTTTTCATTCTTTCACTTCTAATCTGTATCCTTCCTTTTGGCTGAGATGTATCTTCAGTAGGCAGTATATGATTGCAGATTTTAATCCAATCTACCAGTTTGTGTCTTTTGATTGGTTCAGACAAGTGCCATTGAAATATATTGTTGTAAAGTGTTTATTGAATCCTATTATTTCAAATGATGTGGAAATACTCATGCTTTCAGTGGGGATTGTGTTGTGAGCTTCGATCTTCTGCACTAGTCCTGCATGGTGAGCTACTGTCTCATGATGCTGGACAGCGGCCGCGTTACTGGCTCCCGCTCAGCTGTGTAGTCAGCAGTGACAATGCCTGATCCTCTGTGGTAACTCCGTGGCCAGATGTTTTTGCACATAGGTATTTAATAATTACACAAGCTGTTCAGCAGTTTGTTTTACCATAGGCTTTGTGCTAGGTGATTTTGCCTAATTGTAGGCTAATATAAGTGTTAAAATAGGCTGAACCATGATGGGTTTTTCATTAAATGTTTTTCAAATTGTGGTACTTCCAACTTAAGGTGAATTTATTTGGAAGTAACCCTGACATAAGTCAGGGAACATCTATAGTTCCTTTTTATAGGATAAAAATTACTTTCTTTAACCTCAGTCTGAACAGGGACTGTTATGGTTCTCATTTTACTAAAGATGCAGTTTAAGAAAAGTTGCTTTATAATAAGTTACAGATTCGTGATTCCAATGTGTAGGCAGTTTGATTCAGAACCTTTACTTCCACCCACTGTTCTTTGTTCCTCAGTACCTTATGATAGATATCCAGTGTGTTGTTCTAAGCACACAGAAGGAAGGTCCTTAAACATTCAAATGCAACCTGGCATGGTGGCACATGCCTGTAGTCTCAGCACTTGGGAGACAGAGGCAGGAGGATTTCTGGGAGTTCGAGGCCAGCCTGGGCTACAGAGTGAGTTGAAGGCCAGCCTGAATTGTATAGCAAAACCCTACCTCAAAAACAAAACAAAACAAAGCACCCCACAACATTTAAGTGTAGCCTATATAGTCTGTTAGAAAGATGACTAATGTGATCAATAAAGTTAGTGTTATTGGAGTTCAAGGTAAACACATTGGTAATTAGGTTATAAGTCATGTTAAAATCCAGTGTAAAATACACAAAAATGTGCCTTGAGACACTAAAAGTTGTAGGCACTGGAGGAATTTAGAATTACAGAAACAAAGCTGATATTTCTGAAGTGGGCATTTGAAGTAGGCCTGGTACTTAGATAAGGTGTTAAAGCTGGAAAATGGGCAAGCAAGGGGCATAAAGAGCAGCATGGGAAGGGGTCCCTGAGCTAAGGTTGCAGGAGGGGTGGGGTTGGGAGAGAACTATTGACAGTACTGGAGAGGAGCGGGGAGAACTGGATCAGTACCTCGGAGGCTGTAGATGGACTTCACAGGAGCACGAAAAGTTTTTGAGCAGGAAAATAATGTGACCCGGTCTACCTCAGAATTAATGTAGCGTTATTGCAGATTTTAAGGAGCGTGGAAGAGATTTAAGAAGGCTGGTGTGAGCAGTGGTTAACTGTCAAAAAGCAACGTTAATCAGACCAGTTTTCAAAACCAAAATACATGTTTGTGATACTTCTTATTTTTTTTTGCCTATAACCATATTACACTCCATAGAATGCTGACTTGAAGATCTGAACATCTGTCTGTCTGTCTTTCTTTTTTTTTTTGTGGTCCTGGGAATTAAATCCAGGGCCTCACACATGCTACTCAAGAGCTCTACTACTGAGCCACATCCCAGCCCTTTAAAAAAAAAAATTACTATTTTGTGGCAGTGGCCTTGAACTTGAGATCCTCTTGCTTCAGCCTCCTGAGTGGATGGGATTGCAAGTGTATGCACATCTGACTCTAAGGTTTTTTGTGCATGTTTCTTTTTCTGAGTATCTTTTGAAATAACAGAAGCCAACACATTAACCTTAAATTAAAGTCTTGGTATCCTGAGTCTCACTTCTTTAAAATTAAGTAGAAACAAATCTGAATCAGAAGTAGCCTGACACATTGTATCCTTGACTGTTGTGCTGGCCTGTCCTGACTTTATTGGTAATGCTGTCAGGACAGTGTTTTCCTAGAAGAAAAAAGTGGCCCGGGTGCTGTTCATTGTGGCACCTTCTCTTTTTTCCTCAGTAGGGGTCTTCCTCTGCACCTGCTGCCATCTGTAACCATGGCAACTGCAGCTACACTATAGGGAAGTTTTCGGCTTGGGGGCAGATAGAAGGGGGAACCACAAGTAGGAACAAATCTTACTGGGCAGTTAGCTCCCTGCTGATTTGCAGGGAAGGGCTGCAGGATTGTAAAAGACAGGGGAATAGATCTTCATGAACTAAATTTCATTAATGCTAGTGCTGTGTTAGGAACTGGTACTCTTCTCTCCAGCCCATGTGTGAGAGCTCAGCAGGGGCTGTGCAGGCACCCTGCTAAAGAAACAATCTTGCTTACTGGGGCCTGTGTGCCAGTACACATGTGAGATTGTAAACACTCAGTCTTGACTGTGTTTGTGTAAGTTCTTGGAGAGTTACTGATAAGTCCAATTCTTTATTTAAGAGAAGAAAGAGGTCGTATGTCTAAGTCTGATCTTATTTCCTGTCTTAGTTCTAGTTTTCTTGTGCTTGGGCAGTCCCTGTATATTGTACGCTTTCCAAGACATAGAAAGGGAAGTAATATTGCAAGTAAGTCTATTCCGGTTCCCACATCCCCATTTCCCTTTCTGGAGAATTTCTCAGGTACCTTTCCAGGTCTGTATTATGTTCATTTAAGCACACAGTGTATTCAAGGTACAGTCTCTTCACCCTATAGCAATCAAAAAAAAAAAAAAAAAAAAAAAACTACCAAAAAGGACCGTAGAAAGCAGCTAATTTTGCTTATTTTATGGAAAAGGAAACTGAGTCCCAAAGATATTAAATAACTGGTTAAGAGTGAATTATTTTGGCATGCCTTACTTTTCACTGATGTGTTCTTGATCTTGTTTAATTTTAATTGCCTTATAATTGTAAGTATTTATAGGGTACCATGTAATTTTTTTATTTCTGTAAATATTGTGCATTGTTCATTTCAGTGTAATCATTTTTTATCTCTTCAAACAATTATCATTTTTTGTGGAGATGTTTAGAATACTTTTAGCTTCTTTTTGAAACATAGAGTACATTATTGTTACCTGTAGTTACTCTTTTGTGCAGTAGAACACTAAAATTTGTTACTTCTGTCTGACTGTGTATTAGTACCCATGAATATTTGGGGTTTATTTCAGAATATTTATTACTCAAAAACAGTTTTTTTTTTTTAACTCAGAATTTGATCCCTCATGACATTTATGATTTCTACCATTCTTATAACGTAGATGTTTAAATGTTTAGATGTTTAAATCTCGATTTTTAAAAATATATATAGATTTGAAGTTGATTCTTAGACTCATTTTCAACATCCCAAATATCCTTTTGTAATACTTGATAAGATGGAGACATTGTTTTTTTCTTTTTTTCCTTTTTTTTTTTGTCTTTTTCCTTTTTATTGGTACCAGGGATCAAACTCACAACTGCCTGCTTGCAAGGCAGGTGCTTATGCCGCTGAGCTAAATCCCCAGCCCCCTGTTTTTTTCTTTATAAGCACATTTCACTCATTGGTTCGAGGGATTGATTTTTAGTTTGTCTTTTTCTCAGTGCAGATACATGCCTTTTAATGTTGAGATTTCAGGTACTGTTTAGGTGATAAGACAGTTGTTCTTTTCACTTTCAACTGCTGTGTCTGCCAATTTCTTTCTTTGCTGTTCCTCCTCTATATTTGTGTGTGGACTCCCCTTACCCCACCACTAATGTATTACTTTTTGAAATTGAAAACCAGCAGCCATTATTTCTGGACTGTTTGACAATTAAAATTTATTTCCCCTTTCTATGCACAAATGTATTACCACAGGGAGCTTTGTAATTTAAGTCTATGACATAAAACCACCTGATATACCACTTGGCCCATACAATAAAGAGAAATAACATATTTTTATATAATCATGTTTGTGTAAATTAAATTACATCATGCATTGGTGTTGAATTATGACTAGCAACTTGCCTGTTATTATATGTAATGGTAAGAATCCAGAGAGAGAATTTTAGTATTTCTTTTCTCTCCTATCACACCTTAAATATGTTACTTATCTTAGTACTGTAGCCGTGTGGGAGTTCTAGGCAATATGTACAACTGTTCAGTTTTGATGGTGCAAACAACAAACCCAAACGTTTTGTATTTTATATGTATATCTTTTATACATTCACATGTAAGTATATGTGTTTAATTGTATATTTTTGTATATAGGTCTTTTGTAGCCAATTGCTTACAGATGTGATTTAATGTATGTAGCTGATATAGATAAAGCATACCAAAAATCTAAAGTAGAAAAACTAGAAGTTTTAACAGTTTAATCCCACAATAACTAACAAAGAAGCAGCTTCTCAAAGGCCTCCATGTGGGTTCAGACCTTTGAGGGCAGTGAGAGAGGGATCTGCTGCCACACAATGGAGCAGTGAGGTGTGCTGGGGAAGCCTGAGGGGGTTTTAACCATCTTGATTGAAAACAAAGATGTCTGTTTTTTTATTTCTGTGTCTTTCATTGTAGAGGATTTGTGGATGATTCAGTGTAACTCCAAATTCCAGTTGGTGTATCTCACACCAGACAGGGAAAGATAAGCTCTAGCAGACAGTTGCTTCTGATTCATCTTTCTTACTAAATGTATACCCGTGATTAGAGAATCCAGTTAATTTTAAAGGCTTATGAGGGAAGGTAGCTCTTTGCCAGTTCTTTTCTTATTTGGATGAAATAAGTAAAATAATGTCATTAGCTGTAAAGAGAGATTTGATCTTTTGTTCTTTGAAATCATGCATTCATATATATACTCCAATCCCTCAAAACATTACCCTTTCCTTCTACTAGAGATGAAGATGACATCAATGATGTGACTTCCATGGCAGGAGTCAACCTCAGTGAAGAAAATGCCTGCATCTTACAAACAAACTCTGAATTGGTCGGCACACTCATTCAGTCATGCAAAGATGAACCGTTTCTTTTTATTGGAGCTCTACAAAAGAGAATCTTAGACATTGGTAAGTAGGGAATTATGATCATTGACCTGTGTGGTGGACCTCCTGGATGACTCTCCTTGAGTAAAGAATACTTACCTCCATTTTTGCTACAGGTGGCCCTATTTCCACATACTAATTGATATGTACAGAGCTGGCTAGGACATTTCCTTTTCCCTTTATTTGGCTGTAAGCAGTGTAAATAGGGCTGGCTGAGGTGCTGATGCATAATCTTTGAAGTTAGGCAACAGTCACTGTTTCCCCACTTCAAAAAATATGGTTGAGCTGGGGGGACAAAGATAAGAGATAAGAGGCTGTGATTTACCAGGCAGAAAAGTTTACATTCAGCATCAGAGCTGAATCTCTCAAAACAGTAAATATTACCTAGGTTGTGTTATTCAGATTAGTATTTTTGCCTTCTCTCTGCATATTGCAGAGATGATTTGAGGCCTCCTACCTAGCTCAGCTCAGAGTACTCACATGCTTCCCACCATTCTCATAGTTATTCATCCTTAAGCCACTGCCTTCTTCACAAGTTAATAAAATCCAAGTTGGGCGCTGGGTTGAGGCCTTTGTTCTGATGAATCTTCTTGACCAGACTTAGGGCCACATGGCTCCCCGTGACTATAAATATGTCTTAGTGTCTGCATTCTTGCCGTGGGCTGCACTAGAAGTGGTAGATTGGAATTAAGTTATTGGAGATCTAATAATTTTTCCATGGGATTAGAAAGATAAACTTCCTGGACTGAGATGAGAACTGGAAAGGATTTTTCTACAGACCTCAAAGGGATGTTCAGTGAAAGTGTTATCAAAAAAGCCTGGGACTCTAAGACTTAAATGCGGTTCTACAAGTAATCAAGATTTCCTGGGTGTTATAAAAAGAAGTGTTTTGTTTTAGAACTTACTAATATAGTCTAAATCATATAACCTATGTTTTCTGGTTTAGATAATAGAAATCAGTATTCTTATTTCCTGATGGGGTAATAGACATGTGTATTTTTACAGTAAGTATATAATGTTTAATTTTTTCTGTACTGGTCTTCCTTGGTTGGCTATTGGGCAGATGTGTGTACAAATATATGCTTATATTATATGTTTGTGTTTATGAAATAAAGATGACGAGATTATTGGTTTTTAAACTTAGATTCAATATCACGTGAAAGTCTGCAGTCTCTCCATATTAACTAAAAAAGGGGAAAGGTTAGGGAGAGATTTCTGTGTGAGTTATACCATTTTTTGTGTCTATACTCTAGTACTTTCCAAAATCACCTTTTCTTCTTTATCCATGTCAGATTCTAGGGACAGGTACCAATGAGTTTTGAGTATACCTGAGTTAGATAGAAACCTTTGTGTTTTATATTGAAGGCTTAATAATAAATGTGATGATTTCTGATTTTTCTTCACCCATGATATATTTAAGGATTACTGTTCCTTTACTTCACAAGTAAATGTTTGAGCTGCCATATGCTGCACAAGTGACCATTTTTTCATTTCTCATTTAAACAAAGAATATATTTCTTTTATTATGAACAGCTAGAATATATGAGTAGTTCAATAGGTAAGAATTAAAAATGCCTATAAAACATTTGCTGTTTGCTCGTTTTTTCCTGCTTCTGTCTTTTTCTCTCCTTCCTCTTCTGTCTTTTCTAGTCTCTCCTACTTTCTTCTTTGCATGTATATTTTGTACTGCACAGGTGCCAGCGCCTTGGTTTTGGAATAAGTTCAAGCTCCTTCCTGTGGTGGCTTAGAAAGTTTACTGATGTTTTAACTCCTTCATGCCATCAAGTTATATAAAGCATTGGTAGACTAGAAAATGTGTAAAGTTTATTAATTTTCCTCTTCTTCCAATTTTCATTTCTAGTTTGATTTAAACTGTGATTGTATGATAAAACTTTTTTTTTTTTTAGCATTTAAAGGTCATTTTTGATCATTTATGACAGAGATTGGCCCCTTTTTTTCTCCATGGGCTGCTTGATAAATATTTGCATTCTCTGTCACAGCTTCTAGGCTCTGCTATCCTAGGGCAAAAGAACCATAGACAAAAACAATAAGCAGAGAGTCAAGACTGTTATCTTACTCAGCTGGGGCTGCCATAACAAAATACTATAAACTACAAGGCTCACAGGACAGGCATTTGCTTCTCATTGAGCTGAAGGTAGCAGTTTGAGATCAGGGTGCCAACAGAGTTGGGTTTTGGTAAAGGCCCCCCTGCTGGTTTTCAGAGAGCTGTCTTTTTGCTCTGCTCTCATGGGATAGAGAGATCTCTCTGACTTCTCCTTGGCCTGTTCATCAGGGATTTACTTGTATGTCTTTATTAGCCTCTGATGGTCCCACTTCAAATATCATCACAGGGGATAGGGTTTCAGCATAAACTAGGGGAGAGGGGCTAACATTCAGCCCAATGCAGTTGTATTATCATAAAACTTTATTCACAAAAAAAGATGAGATTTAGCTTGTTGGCCATAGTTTGATAAACTAAGTTTAGGAGAATAAGGTGACAATTGTTTTCATTTTTATTTGTTTATAATAAAACTCAAACTTGTCATATAATAAGATGGTAGGGCCAGGGATTTAGCTCAGTGGCTCAAATGCTTGCCTGCTAAGTGCCAAGGTTGTGAGTTTGATCTCTGCTACCAAAAAAAAAAAGGTAAACTGCAACTATTTAAGCTTTTTGTTTTTTTAAAGTGAAACTACAGAGCAAATGATGTTCATGTATTTCTAGGAATGTTTTCCACTCAATAAAATTCCTTCTGTATAGATGAAGTAATCAAGGCCACTACTTAAACAGAAATTATTTTTGGTTTTTGTTTTTTGGTACCAGAGATCGAACACACGACCTTGTACTTGCCTAGCATGCACTTGTGCTGCTGAGTCCTAAACAGAAATTATATTATCCGAAGCTTTTTAAAAAATATTTTTCTACTTGAATGTTAGGATATTAAATGATAATTTTTTGTAATTGCCTAAATTAAACCATGCAGATGTTTATAATAAAGTCAGTGGTAAGCTTGCAAGCACTGACTATGGAATATGGTAGATCTTCTTCAGTTACGGTGATGGTAAACAAAGAGTATTTTTCTTAAAAGGGAGAAAATTTTTATTGTATTTAACTTAATAACTTTAAGTCATGTTTTATCACCAGTCTAGTGAAGGTGTATTTTAGAGCATTTACTGTTCTTTAACCATGGAATTGCTTGTTAAAGTTAGCACTTGGTTACTTTTAATGTTTTAAAAATATAGTCTGCCTGTGTATGTGTTTTCTTAGTTTTCTATTTTGAGACAAGTTCTCACTAGTTGCTGAGACTGGCCTGGACCTTGTGATTCTCCTGCCTCAGCCTGCCTGCTGAATAGCTGGGTTTATAGGCACGTGCTGGTATGCTTAGCTAAATATATGAATTTTTAAACATTGGATGTTTTGTAAGTACGTTTGAAATTAGTTTCAAAGCTTCCTTTCTCCAAACATAAATATTCTTAAAAACTCATTTTAAAATTTTGAGCAGAGAATGACATATTATACCGTATCCACCTTGTATTTAATTAATCATTGAACTATTTTGCAATTTTACTACTCCTACAGAACTCCTGGTTTGTTTATGGGAAGGCTTTTTTTTTTGTACTGGGGATCGAACTCATGACTACACCTGCAGGGCAGGTGCTTATGCTGTTGAGCTAAATCCTTGGCCTTGTGAAGGGTTTTAATAGTGTAAATTTCACTGTATAGTGTATTTTCCCCTCTACTGGACCTCTACTGGATTCTGAAATTAGGCGTGAATTCAGCCTTGCAGTAAGATAGTGAATTATAGTTTGAAGGCTTGGATTAGGAGAAGTTGGATAATTGTGTGTGTTTTGCCTATCTGGTTTACTATAGGCCGTGTTTTGAATTCATGTTTGATATTGTGATAATATCAAAGTATATTTAAAAGTTGTTGGCTTAAGTGAAACATATTTTTGCTGTAGTTATACACCCTTTGATGAGAGTTTGACTGCTTCATATAAGTTGGTATGCAAGTCAGAAATTTTAAATTCTTGTACTTACACACATATGTTAAAAAGAATCATAATTGCAGTTTTAAAAGCTCATTTAAATTAGACCGCCTAATTGCCTGCATCTTTAGATTTAGATCTCTGTTGATACAGGTGGTTTCACTGTATCTGAGAAATACTAGTTAAATACTAATAAGGTTAATTTATAAATGAACCTGTGTCTTTACATATGTGGTCTAAATTGTTTCCCTGAAACTTTCTAGTTAGCAAACAGTAGAAAAAAGTTATTCAAAGAAGAGACAAGCTATTCATATGGATGGGTGAAACAATGAAGCTTTGAACCCATATCATCTTATAAATTGCTTACCAGGTCAAATCAGAACATTAATGTAAAACATAGGCATGATTGTTAATGGACAAAAACAGTATAGGTGTATCTTATAGACAAGACATTAACAGAGATTTCCAATCTGTAGTCATTGAAATAAATGCCATAAATTGTTAACAGTGTCAAACAGGGTGAAATAGAATTTTCTATTTTTTTTTAATTACTAAAATTAACAGAGTAGGGCACTAATTTCTGCAGTTACCATTTTTCTCCCTGAACAGTAGACTTGATTTGTGTTCTTATTAACTTTGTCCTATAAATGACCTTGTGAGAAGAATGATTCTAGAGGCTAAGTGAAACAATGTCTGTATTTTCTAAGGCTTCAGGCTAGGTTTTATTAATGTAATGTCTTAAGATCTTTGAAGTTGTGACTTTACCAGGAAAATTATAATCTCCAAACCTTTATTCATAATGGGTATGACTTCCAGGGGAACAGAATACCTGCTGTGCTAATTATTTCAATTATCAGCCACTACTAAAACATGCAATGGATTTTCTCTGCTTCCACAGGTAAAAAGCATGACATTACAGAATTTAACTCTGATGCTGTGAACTTGATCTCCCATGCAACACAAGAGAGATTACGAGGCCTTCTAGAAAAACTGACTACAATTGCTCAGCATCGAATGACTACTTACAAGGTAAAGGAAATCACTAAAGGAGTATATACTCCTGTCTCTCTTCTGTAATGCTAAAGGTAGTTTTGTGAGCATGGATTCATATTGTACATATATTTTCAAAGGAATGATTGAAACTTGTATTTCATGTTAGTGGAAAATCAAAAGTCTTCTTCTTAATTGGCTTCAAATATGCTTGCAAGACAAATAAAATACCATTGGAAATGGTATCCGAAGCTTGTATGCTAGAATAGTTTGGAATATGCATGTGTTCTGCCTGAGGCTTTTCATGCTCCAGGGTTCAGCTGGGAAGGAGGATTTATTAGGTTGGAATATTGGCTACTTGTGTTCTCTTCAGTGGTCTGGACTCTGCCAGCATTCCTGTTCCTTTCGGAAAGTTAAATGATTTCATTGAGTGCTAATACTGGTGCCAATCATTACAATTACTGGCTACTTTTATAAAAAATGAAATGCACAAATAGCTTGTCTTGTCCCTAGTAATATGAACTAAACCATTTGCCATTCATTATTAAGATGAAAGCAGTTGATATATTTGAATTGTAATTTTGGAGGATGACAGGTAAATTGGATGATAAATTAAAACAACTGGAATAAAAGAAAATCTTTTCCTTCTTTATCTAAAACATTGATAACTAGATTTTTAACACAATGGAGAATAGGTAACCTTGTGAAGTTTTGAGTACCGGGTTTTGAGTTTGCAAGAATGGTGATTGCATGGCTCTCTAGCCATAGACTGAGAAGACTCCAGGAAAATATTGGCTATCGTAGCACAAGTAAATTCTCTGGAAGAATCTTTCTGTTTTCCTTCCTTTTTGCTTTGGTTAAAGAACTTTGGAAGGACTATATATAGTTCTAGAGGTCCTTGGTTGCACAAATCTTTGTGAGAATTTTCTAAGCTGACTTAAAATATGTGATCACCTAGAAAAAAGCCTATGGAAAAATAAGGTAGCAGGTGTGTGTGTGTGTGTGTGTGTGTGCTTCTAGGATTTTGTTCATTTCTTTGTTATCCAATTTGTGGACCAATCAATTTCATACTTTTTTGATTCTTTTTATTTATGTAAGGTCAGTACTAATAATCCCACTTTCATTTCTGATTGTAGGTTTTCACATTTTCTGTCTGTGTCAGCCTAGTTAATGAATTTTTTTTTTTTTGGTCAACTTTAGCTTTCGTTAATTTTCTCTATTTTTCTATTCTTCTTCACTTAGAGCAACACTAGTCTATTATTTTCTTCTTTCTATCTTTGGGTTTAGGTTGCTATTCTATTTTTAATTCTATAAGGTGTAGGTGTAGGTTGTTGATTTTAGATGTTTCTTTTCTAACGTAAGTATTTACTGCTATAAATTTCCCTCTGCATACTGCTATCACTGCATACTAAGAGTTTTGGTTTGTTATGGTTTGTTATGTTTTCATTTTCATTTGTCTCTTAAGTTTGTTTCTTGAGATCTCTTTGATCCATTGGAAGATACGGTGTTTAATTTCCACGTTCGTGGTTTTTTTTCAGTTTTCCTTCTGTCTATGATTTTATTTATTTGTTTGTTTTTTGGTTTCATTTTATTGTGATCAGAGAAGATACTTTGTATAATTTAAACATTTTATATTTTTTGAGGCTTATTTTATAGCATGAAGTCTGGAAAAACTTCCACATGCACCGCAGCAGAATTAGTGTTCTGTTTTAGTTGGGTGTTGGGTTGATACATGTGTTAGATATGTTAGCTGGATTGTAATGTTAAGGAATGTGTTTCCTTGTTGATTGTCAATCTAGATTACTATCCATTATTGAAAGCAGGGTATTAACAAGTCTTCAGCTATTAGAAGAGTGGTGGAATAGATGCTTAGTGTGCAAGGAGTCCTAGCCAATCCCCAATACTACCAAAAATAGTTTCCAGTACTGCTTGCTTCATTTGTACATACATGAAATTCTGTTAATAGATACATCTATATTAGGTATCTTCTATTACTGTAACAGTTATCTGAGACCATCAATTTAAATGGGGAAAATTTTATTTTGGCTCACAGTTTTGAAGGTTCCACTCATACAGTTGATACCATTGCTTTTGGGCTTGTGGCTAGGCAGCACATCATGGCAGGCATATGCATAGTGGAACAAAGTTGCTGATTTCATCATAACCAAATAGCAAAAAATAGCAAGAGGGGCTAAGGTCCCAATAAATAGTTCCTTGAAGAGAGTGTCCCAGTGACCTGACTTCCTTCTGCTTGGTCCCACCTCACTTCCCATCACCATTGGCAGGGGCCTAAGTCTGCAACACATGGGACTTGGGGAGACCTTCAAGATAGAAAGTATTGCAGTGTCCTTGCTGAATTGACTCTTTCATCATTGTATCAAGTGCTGTCTTCTTATCTCTCTTTTTTTTCTAAATTAAGAAACAAGGTCTTACTGTGTTATCCCGGGTGGACCCTAAATTCCTGGGCTCAAGTGGACCTCCCAAGAAGCTAGAAATATGGGTCCATGCCACCACTCCCAGCTTGTTCTTTTTTTTTTTTTTCTTTTTAAAACAAATTTTACTTAAAGTCTGCTTGTCTAATGTTATTATAAACAGAAGTGCTTTATTTTTTTCATGGAGTATCTTTTTTAAATTTCACTTTCAAGTTACATGTATGTTTTTATTTAAAGTGAGACTTTTGTAGATAGCATATAGTTGGATCATGGTTTTAATTCATTCTGTCACTCCCTGGTTTTTGATTGGTGAGTTTAATCCATTTACATTTAAAGTAATTACTGATAGGAAAAGTGTTTTCTGTATTCTTTCCAATGTTTTTTTTGACCCTCACTTTTCCCATTACTACTGTCTTTTGCATTTGATTGTTTTTGTTTTGTGTTATTTGATTTCTTCTATTGTGTGTGACTTTTTAGTTATTTTCTTAGTGGTTTTCATGGAAGCTATAATTAAAATTCTAAAGCTAGCCAGATGTGGTGGTGTGTGCCTGTAATCACAGCACTTGGGAAGCTGAGGCAGGAAGATCATTATGAGTTTGAGACCACTTTGGGCTTCACAGTGAGCTCAAAGCCAGCCTGAAATGCGTAACTAGACCACATGTCAAAAAGACATAAATAAATAAATAAATTTTTTTAAAAATCCAAAATCTACAGAAATCTAGTATAAATTGATTCTAGCTTATCTTCAGCTTTGTGGGGAAATCAGTCTTTTTCCTTGTAACTTTTAGAAGTATGTCCTAATTTTTTACATCAGGATTTTCCCACTCCTCCCTTACTCTCATTGTTCTTTCAGAAATAGGAGAGTATATCACCATTTATATTGAGAGAGTTCTATAAAACGGGACTGAGGATGTACTCAGTGGCGAGTGCCTGTCTCGTGTGTGTAAGGCTGTGTTGGCCAGCTTTTGGGGCCCAAGGAAATTTTTGCAGGTGTGGTCCCTAGGTTAAAGAATACACAGGTGCATGACATCAGCAACAGCAGGCAGCATCGAGAATAGCAGAGCACAAGAGCGCAGAGCACCTGGGTTTTTATTGTATCATTCCTATACAGGTTGGTACCTCATATTTACATTCTTTCATGCTAGCCTCATTAGTGCCTGCGTAAATGTCTACTACTAAGTCATGACCCCATATATCCCACTGTGCACTTGTGTTGGACAGCGGGGTCACATACTCAGGTTTTCTTAGACACCCCTGAGCTTTGAAGCAGCCTGAGTTGGTTCCCTACAAGCTGTGGTTTCCATCTTTAGCACTATAAAAACAGTAGCAAAAACAACAAAAACCAAAACAAAAGGCCAAATACATAATATATACAATTTAGTGTATACAATTTAGCAATATATACAATTTAGGGCTTAGTGAAGGTGCTATTTAAAGTTCTATTGAGGTAGTTTTAGACATGATTTTTCTGTTTTACTTCACTAGCCTGTGTTCCAAGGATTTAGTTGCCCTAGGCAAAATGGGTAATATCTATGCCACCTGGAAGACCTCAGTAACTTAGCTTAAAGCTAAAACCTCCTTAATCCTATCTTCTATACTGCCTACTCTGATTTTTCCCTGCTCACGTTTCCCTACACATTGCTTCATACAGCTAAGGATATTGTCTAAATTTACACACTCAGAAGGGCAGAAAGGATGTCATCGTCCTTTAAACAGAAATAGTAATCATTTAATTATATTTGAAGTTAGTTCAAAAACACCCTTATTTTATAGGCCTTAATTGTAATAATCTTTGGATTATAGATTTAGCTCTGACTTTGTATTTCAGCTTATATTTGTTAGGATTTATTTTTATCTATACAATATTTTGAAATTCTACTCCATGAATTATATAAAAATGCAAGCCACTATTATTAAAAGCAAAATCCCACCATCTCTTTACACTCTTGAAATCCATTTGCTTTTGATAATGTTTTACCTGGTTAGGTATAATTCTCTAATCATAGGCCATAAACTGAGATTTGAGTAAAGAAGTGGAAAGTGACATATGAAAGAGAGCTTTTGATCTGGCTGCCAGGTGTTTTCCCACTAAAGATATATTACAGTCTTCTGTATGCCTGTGGCTAAGGGGGAAGTTTCATTGTTTTCCAGTTGGAAGGTATTAGAGTGTTTCCTTTAGGTGGGATTCACTTGATGGTGTTGATACCATTAGGACTCGGTCATTATATTTTTCACTGCTAAGCCATTTAATATGTAGTGGCCCTAAGATTGCAAAGCCCTACTCTGTTGGTGCATGAAGAGTTCAGTTAATGGGATCTACTGAGACAGGAAGGAACACCTGTTCTCCTGTTCTCCTGTTTTTTAAAGAAAGTTAGCGACTCAATAGGACTAGGGGAGGTACTTCTTTGTTTAATAGTATCTGGAATTAAAAAGAAAGAATGCATTATACCAGAGGCAGTTGTATCTGTGTTGGAAGAGAAAGAGTAATTTACCATGGGAATGTGATAGGGTTAAAATTTAGAAAGTCTGCACTCCTTTTTGATTTAGTGTTTGTTGTCTCTTTTAAATTAAATCCTGTCAGTAAGAGGGCCTGAGCACATGACTGGTAAAGATGAAGTATTTTAGAGACCACTGTTACTATGTTTAATCTCTAAGGTTGACCTGTAATGTATTCCATATTCTATCTTATATTATTTAACTTTAAAAAAAACATTTAGGAATTCTTTTCATGTTAAATATGAAGTAAAACAAGTAGCATGAATACATCCTTGTTCCTTAAACTATGTAATACTCTTTTGATCTACCTAAATACCCACAATAAAATTTAATTTAAAAAGAATCTTGGGCATATGAAATCTCTGGGTTAATTGAATCAACCAGAAGCATGGGGATAAAGCAGAGATGGGAATAAAGCAGAGGTGGGGATGAGGGTGTGCTGTCCCCTGATCTCCAGGCCTGGCACTCACTATCCAACTAAATATTTCAGTTTTTCTGCTGTCTAGACCCCCTCGGCTCTCTGAATTATGGAGCTGAGTAGAAGGCTCGGTGTCCTAAGTGTGGACTGGGAAGAGTCCCAGGATCCTACCACCAAACCCAATAAACCACACACACTAGGTACTGTATATATATTATCAAGAGAGGTGGTTATTGTGAAGAGAATTGGAAAATACTTAGATTGGAAAGCACTGTTTTATACTGTGGCATAGCAGAACAAACAGAACAGTTTGAATCTTATTTTATGGAACACTTAAGACATGTAATTATACTTCTACCATCGTGCTTAATAAATTCATAAATTTTATAAATTCATAAATTTTGTACTTAATTTTTGGGCTACAGTTTATGTCCAAATTCACACCTTAAGTGAATCCTCTGAGTTTCAGGATTTTGACACTTGCCAGTTAGTCTTTTTTTTTTGTATGGGGGATCAAACTCGCGACCTCCTGCTTGTCTGGCAGGCGCTTATGCCACTGAGCTAAATCCCCAGCCAATATCTTGTATTTTGTTGATAGAAATCATATTCATTTTTCAAGGGTAAACCAATCCAACAATGCTAACCAGAATGATAGCTTTCATGTTTGGTGTGTTTTTCAATGAGAAGATTATTTCTTGCTGTTTGTCTTCACAGGCCTAAATAGTAATTACTCATATTGTTTTACCAAAACAGAAAATAATTTAGTTAAAAAGGTTAAGTTATAAGTAAATGGCATATAGCCTCTTGTATGCTTCTTCTTCGTGTTTGAATCTGCTTGTCTTAATATCTTTCCCTTCCTCAGAATGAGATTTAATAGAATCACTTTGAAATGTAAGTGCTTAATCATCTGTGAAATTTTAAGGATAATTCAAGTTCCTGGGTGTTATTTGTTTTGTTGAGCTTGTTTAATGTAAGTAAAAACATTGCCTCCTAATACTAATGCAGAATGTGTTACCCAGGGTCATCGTGATTTTTTTTTTCCAGGCAAGTGAAAATTACATCCTGTCTAGTGATACTAAGTCACAGCTCAAATTTCTTGAGAAGCTGGATCAATTGGAGAAGCAGAGAAAGGACTTAGAAGAAAGAGAAATGCTACTTAAGGCTGCCAGGGTAAGGGCCTGTGTAGTTTATGGGTGGTCATGGCCTGGCAGAAGTCAGAATTGCTGTCATCATTTGTTGATTGTCTTGGTTTGATCAAACCTTTAGATTCCTCTGGAGGGTTTCTTACTTAAGTGAAACTACTAACAGAATGTCTCACAGCCAGGATGGTGTGGTACAGTAACTTTTGGTTAATTTAGTTTAATGAGTTATGATCCTTGTCTCCTCACTCTCATTTCCTGTGTGCCTGGCATCATACCCACTCGCCTCCTCCCCTCAGTAAAAATGTTCTGTGAAAATTTCAGGGTCTTTTTTAGGGAGTTGTTCCAAAGGGAAGTTGAGAGAGGAAATTTAGAAAGTAGCCGGATGTGGCGACACATACCTGTAATCCCAGTGTTTGGGAGGCTGAGGCAGGAGGATCACTATGAGTTTGAGGCTAAGCTACATAAGCAAGTTTAAGACCAGCCTGAACAACATGGGGAGACCCTGCCCCTACCCTGCCTGCAAAAAAAAAGAAAGAAAAAAGAAAAGAAAAGAAAAAATTTAGTAAGTTGACAGGAAGATTATGGGTAAAGTTAGGTATAATTTGAACTACATGGACTATAATATATATGGAGTATAAATGGCTTAGAGATTAAAAAGGAGAGCAAGTGAGGCTGTTTAACTTCTTCTTTCTCCTTTATTTAAATGTTTCTCAGGATTGTTACTGCCAGATGGAAGGAAAACTTAATTCTGGTATTTTGCATTTTTGTAGCACCCTGCTTCTTCATAGGCTTAAGGTCCTTCTGAGAAGGCTTAAAGTTAGAACACTAAAGTTTTTAATTTTTGTTCTAAGCACTTTAGTTCTAATTTTTAGTGTTCTTGGAAGCCTCCTCGTTCTAGAATATTTGTTGCTACTCACATACATTAACATTGCTGTTTTGGAAACTAATTTATTTTGAAATAATTTCAAACTTACAGAAAGTTAATTAGAAGTCTACATTCTCAATCTTCTTTCCCAGGAAAAGCTGACCAGAAGTGCACATTCTCTGCTCCTGCTCCCAGATTCCCCCACTGGAAATATTTTAGGCATTTTCTCCACCTCTGCCCTCTTAGGCCATATGTGTATGCTCACACACTTCTATACTTCTGTCTTCCCTCCTTCCCTGTTTTGATTTAGAATTTTTTAGTATGGTTGCAGTTATAGGACTATGGGAACTAATTATTTTTTCTGAACCTTTTGAAAGTGTTTTCCAGATAGGCTGTCCCATTCTCGACGTTCTTCTGTGTTAAGGACCTTCTTAAGTGCCTCTCCCAGGCAGGAAGTAACAGTGACATGCCATCCATTGCACAGGCTCCTGTTCTGATTTTACCTGCTATCTCAGCCTGTCTCTTTTCACATTTCTTTTCTCATTTAGGAATGTACATTTCATTTAGTGTCATCTCTTTTCAGATTCTTCAGTTAATAAGTTTGTTCACATCTTTATCAGTTCTCAAGAGCATTGGCTTTACCCTGTGTGAAAAGCCTGGATTCATTTGGTACAGCCCTATGACTTAAATCATGCATTCTTGGCAGGACTACACAAAAACGGTGCTACGTTCTTCTCAGCTAGTTGTATCAGAGGGCAGCCTTGATCTGTCAGAGAGTGACTACTAGTTTTCTCCATTCTGAATGAACTGTTACCCCCTATTATAATTTTTTAGTTTTTCATAGGAACATATTTTAAGGTGAAGTCCCTCATCATGCATCACCCTTAGCGTCCATTGTGATGTATGCCTGAATCAGCCATTTCTGTGAAGTTTCTGATTTTTTTATTCCTGTCAACTTTCTGTTTTTAGAAACTACCATATGAAAGAGCTTTCTTTTTTCCTTTATTCATATCAGTAGAAGATCATGGATTCTGTTTGACCAAATCAGTTATAATATTGTCGTTGTTTATTTTGATGCCCAAATTGTTCCCAAGCTAACACTTTGGTCCTTTGTCATCTGTTCATCATTCATTGAGCTTTTCCTTACTTTCTGGCATAATATATGTCCCACCCCCAGCTTTTACTGTTTCTGCCTCAGTCCTGGAATCAGCTTTTTAAAAATTTGCACCCTGCTTCTTTTTGGTTGAGGCAAATTGTTAGAATGCAATATTAGAGCATACATTGTTCTCATAGCTTATGGCCAGGTATTGGAAATAACTGCACGTTATGAATGTGTGTGTATACACATGTATCTGTATGTATACATACATTATAAAACCATGAGTTCATATGAATAGTTCCAACTGCAGACCAGTAACTCAGGGATCTTTTTAATGTTAATATTTCCATGTTTATAAAAATTTTTTCCAGTAGTAAGAAACTTGGCTCCCATTATCCTTGATGTATTAAACTTTGGTCCTAAATCAGTTTACTTTCTTTCAACCACCCACGCTGGCTGACTGATACACTATCACAACTCATTTTCTCCCTCCTCATTTCATTGTCCATGCTTTGGGCTGATCCATGCCTCAGTGGGGCTCCTTAGTCCTTTACTACCCCATGTTCTTAGCCACTGACCTGGTGGTGAATTGCCTCAACCCGCATAAAGATGTGGGCACCACAGCCTTGGCATTGTGCAGCTTCCATCTGCCCCAGTTTCAAACCCAGTGCTGACCTGTGCTTAAGAAGGGACAGGGAAATGGGACAGAACGATGTTCTTCTGAGTGTATTATAAGTTAGCACTCAGCTATTGTAATGAGGTCATTTATTGGTGTTTAGTACCAATTATTGGGGCTGTAAACAAGTTTATAAACTATTAATATTATTTTATTTATAATGGATTTAGGGCATTATACTTGCTCTTAGTCTTTTGGCTTTTCCTCTTTTACCAGACTTCTAAACATCCGAATGTCCCAGGTTTCAGCCTGTCTTCTGTGTCTTTATTACCTTTTAAGATTGTGTTTTCAATTCAGTCTGTATTCTGAAACTTTGGGTTCATAGAGCTTACTGCAGAGTTGACATCACTTCGTTGGCTGATAGGCATCTCAAATATAATATTTCTTTAAAAACTGATTTTTCTCCTTCTTGTATAACTTTTCTTAGCTCTGTGAATGAGGTCATCATTTGTACCAATGTGCAAGTCAAAAAATTAGAGGAGTCATCTTTAACCCCTTTGTCTTCTCCCTTCTTATTCAGCTCATTTCCTATTCATTCCAAAGTGTATCCATCTCCTCTTCATCATCAGTGTCACTATTCCAGGCTGAAATGTCTTCACTTGGGCATCTATATCTTCCTGATGACTTCTGTACCCTTCTACAATCTGTTCATCATGCCATTGTTTGAATACTATTTTAATAATATGAGAAGCCTTTAATGGCTTTCTGTTGTACTTTTGTTTGTTCTTTTATTTTGTTTTGTTGGGTTATTTTTTCTGGTCTGTTGCACTTAAAATCCAAACTTCTTACCAAATTTTAAAAGGCCTTAAACTTTTTGGCACATTCCTCCCTCCCTGAGCTTGCCTAGTGTTACCTTTAGGTGCCATTTCACGCTACAACAGTTGCATGAGATTTTGTTTCTTGAGTGTGCCATGCTTATGCCCACCTTAGGATATTAGACTTGTAATTAGGCATCTAAAACTGGTCATTGAGTTCTTTTTCCTAATGGCTGTTCTGCAGATGTCTTCCTTCTCCAGAAATTGAAATTACCACCCTCCCACTTGCTGAGGCCAAACTCCTACAAGCCATGTTGGTTTCCTGTTTATTTTATACCCTTTATGCAGTCCATCAATAAATCTGGTTGGCTTTCCTTGCATAGTGTGCTTTAAATGTTTGTGATCATCTTCTTTGCTACGAAACTAGTCCAAGCTCCTCTCATCTTTCTGCCAATCTTTCACTTGTTCATAGCAGTTGCTTTGAAAAGTCTCCACAGAGTCTGGGGTGTGTTCCTGGTGCCTGCTACGTAGTTGCTGGAGCCACCTTTCAAAAGAGGCACCTCAAGTTGCATCCTTCTTTGCTGCGAACCTTCTGTGGCTTGTTGTACGTGGAATTAAACCTCCAGCTCCTTTTCATGGCCTTCATGGTAACACATGATCTCCAGCTTTTCCTTCCTTCGAAGTTTCCTTGTGCTTTAAGTTCCTGGGCCTTCTCTCTGTTCAGAGCTATGTTCTCATGTTAAATCTTTGGCATTTACTGTGCTTCCTGCTTTAATGTTCTTCGTGGACTCACAGATCTTGTCATTCAGACTTTACACAGTTAGAAATGCTTTCCCCACTGTCTTAACTGGAGAAGTAGTCGTCTCTCTTCTATCACATTGCTGTATTGTAGTTTCTTTATATGGTTTTGTACCAGTAATGACTGGTTTTTCATTTTTACCCATCTAAAATGTTTCACATCTCATAAATGTGTTTAGCTTTTATAAAGTTTGTCTTATTATTTTTCTGTTCTTAAAATGTGAGTTACCTGAGATCAGAGGCTTTATTAATTATTTGTCCTGAGTCTTCAAAGTCTAAAACAATGGCACATGAAGTCTGTTCTACTGACTGTGTACAGTAATACACAAGGCCTGATAAAGATTTATAATATGTACATGTGTCAATTTTATACTAGGGCAAAAAACTGTACAGACTCATACAAATATGCTTATATAACAAATACACATTTGAATATAAACACATCTGTTTACGCATTCATTATCTCCTAATATTGTCGGTAGGATAATAATGGTGTTTGACCTGCTTTGGGTTGAAGTAAAGTTGGTTTAGTAGGTTGTGGAAGTAAATGGAGAAAATCATTACTAGCTTTGAGCACAATTTTGGGTCAGTATTTAAGTGGTGGAGATGAGAAGATCCTAGGTAAGTCTAAACAGATGGTGTCTTGTGTTTTCCTTTAACGAAAATAGCAATAAAAATATCAGGAAAACTTATGAAATAGGAGAATACTTTGGTTTTTATTTTGTTATCTGCCTTTAGCTTAGTTAGCCAAGGTTGCATTTTATAGAACAGTTATTCAGATTTATAGCAGTTAAGCAAATATGTTAAAATAAAAAGGAAAAAAAAGATACACCTATTTTAAGCATGTTTTCCTGTGAACAAAATAGTCATGGTATCATAAATGAAGTTCCTCACCCTTTGTCTGTCATGCCTCACATATAGATAACTGTTCTTATTCCAGTCCTATACTATGATTGTGTTATGAAAAGTGACATCGAATAAACATGTATGAACATTTATTTGTGTGTAGTAGTCTATCAAATGCTATAAAGGACCCAAAGAAAAAATAGTGTAATGAAAATACTGGGATGTATTCCCTACATTTGGCATTATGTTTTTAAAAGACAGAGATTTGGTTCAAGGTTAGTCAGGTTCTTGATTTTAATAGTCCTTGAAATACCATATGTTTTCCCCAAATGGTTTTACCTGAAGATAAACCAGTTTTTATGGTCTCATTCATTTGAGCCAATAGTTCTTTTTATCATCTGCACCATCCATTTTTTTAGTTTCCAGTGTTCCAGCAAGAACAGCATCATGCCTCAACTGGACCTGACTGACATCGTTAGCATCATTTTCAGTATAAGCTTCCTCCAGGCTAGAACTGCAGCAGCCGGCCCACATGATGAGGGGGGAGGGCAGGCGGCTGTGCAGCCAGACTGGATTCAGGCATTGGCCCTGGAGCTAGGATTTTCAATCACAAGAGAAATTGTCATTTATTAAATATTTAACTGCGACTATGGTGTTTAGATTCTTGTCATTTCTATTAAAATTTTCTTTTCCTTTGATAGAGTCGTTCTAATAAAGAAGACCCAGAACAGCTGAGATTAAAGCAGAAAGCCAAAGAGGTAGGACTTTCAAGTTACCATGCTTGTCTTTGTGTTGGAGGGAAGGTTGGCATCGCTCTCCTGGCAATTAGGTCAGGGTTTATTTTGCTGTTGCATACCATTTGCAGAAGCCTTGGGGAAGGACAGGAACTGCTAAAGGCAAGGGCAGTACTTCAAATGAGGTCAATGAGTTATGTGCTCTCTTTTTAAAATTTATTTTCAGGGCTTAGGCCTGTCTAGAAATGGCTCTTTGTAAACTACAGCAGTGTACTTAGAGAAATATAATGTGGGATTAAAAAAAAGAAGAAGAAACTTTTGAGATTTAGCATCTGGGACTGTACAATAGGCTACATTTTTCCAGGGTAATTGTTCGTTTTGTAAATCTGATACTGCTTATAATTCTTTGGCTGGGAGGCGGTACTGGGATTTAGTTTTAAATGGAAAACGCCTCTGGCTTTTAATTTTCTGGGCCCAGCAGTTTTCTGTTCTGGAATGGAGCCCTTGTTTCACACAGTTCATGTTTAGCTGCAGGGGTTTTAGTTTATAGCTTAGACTGGTTAAGCTTTTACTCCCAGAGGCCTCTGCGTAGCAACTGTAGAAATCAACAAATAAGTTCATTTATGTCTGCAGCCTCCTCTCAGTAGCTGACTTTTTACATTTCCCAATATCCATTTCCTGACTTTTCTAGCCCCAGAGAAAAAAGCTCCACTAATTGGAGCTTATTTTAATTGAGCCTTAATATTGGATCTCACTGGAGTTGCCCCCAGAGCAGCTGAGAACAGAATGAAATGAAAGCACCTAAGGTTGAAGATGGTGTGTGTGTGTATGGGTGTGTATGTGTGTGTGTGCATGTGTGCACGCGCATGCTTGTGTGTGTGAAATTTTTCACTTGACCTACAGATTCTTTTCTCTCCTGAATAAATCATCAAGCCTGTTCACATTTCTGATTAAGGATCTGATAGCAGACGATAATAAAGACAGTTGAGGTGTGAGACGTGTGATATGGAGCTGAAGAAATTGGTTTCTATAGTTACTTGACTGATTTCATGCAATTTTTAAGGATCTTTGTGCTAAATAACAGTGATTTTCTTAGTAACCTTTTTCCTTAACTGTGCCTCTTGAACTATGAAATTTGTTGTTGCTTAACATTGCTGCACTTGGCTCCTCAGTGCCAGCAGCAGCAGCAGCAGCAGCAGCAGGTTATTTATGAATGTTTTAAAGGCCCTTATTGTTCAGATTAATGTAGGAGCTGAGGCAAAACAAATGGAAATCTAGTAAGAGTCTTACAATCAATGTGTTGTGTTTTCGTTAACGTAAAGAAAGAAAATGCGTGAACTGTTAGTCGATTTCAGGATCAGGACAAGGAGCTCTAGAAAGGGAGAATATTTAAAAGGATTTAAATCAGAATCATGTATTTTGAACAACAAAATTTCCCTCATACTAATTCCTTTCCAGTGGAAAAAGTGTTTAAAAACATGAAGAAGTATACCTGTCATGCTCTTTAAGCAAACCAGGCTTGATGATAGGTTATTTAGGGAGCAAGCTATCATTCCTCTGAATCGTGGGTATCCTTCTTTTCTTTAATTAAGGTCTGATTGCATTCTTATCTCCCTTCTAGTATATAACTGTGCTGGAAAATATTTATTAGAAAGCTCACCCATTTACCCTTAAAGATCTTAGCCTGTCTGTTCCTCTTTCATAAATCCTCCTAAGCATCTCTATCTTAGATTCATTTTTCCTTTAGCTTTGTATAGGGTGGTTTTGTTTTATTTATTTTTTAGTATTGTGTTTAATTATTTTCTGAAGAATAAATAAGTGGACAGCATTTTTCAAAGAATATTGAGAGAGACAGGGAAAAAAAAAAACCTCTTACTAGAGAACAGGTGGTAGCAATCCTGATTTTTCTCTCCATTTTGTATCACCATGTAATTTTTTAAAAGCAAGATTAAAAGAACTCAAAATAGCTTCTTTCCAAGTATTCTGGAAGTTTTTTTAGTGGCTTTGTACCATAAATCCTCTTTGATCAAAAAAGGAATCAAATGTACTGGCTCTGGTCCAAAAATAGAGCTGTTCTGTATGAGTTGCAAATATTTGAAAGTTAAATGTTATCATTTTGTCATTCTGCTGTCCCCATAGCTCTTAGTGACTTCAGTGTTGAAAGAGGTTCCCAATCAGAATCAAACACACAGATAGCATGTTTTGTTTGACTGAATACTTATTATTGCTACCTTAGTGGAGTTGAATTCTTTTTGTGGATGGTAATTTATAGAGTTATGTACTAATTGCTATCACGTTGGTATAAACTATAGTACTTTGGTTTGTGATTCTTTTGGTATTTGACTACCTGGGAAGCTTTCTTTGTATGATTGTAAAAATGAACACAGAGCCCTTACAATTGCTTGATTTAGAAATGTTTGCTTTCCCTTCCCAGGTATCTACCTGCTTACCAAGATGGCCACAGGAAATAGATCAGTGATAGTATATTATAATCACAAAATGCTATTCTGTATAGGCTGTCTGCTGGAAAATCGTTCAACAATGACAGTTATTTAAACATTAAATCCAACCTGAATCTACATCATAATCCATGTTTGCTTTCAACTGTTAAGTACTAGAATTTTGATCTTGAGCATTTCTCCTGAGTCTTTTCTTTTCTCTAAATTTTAGAGACCGTTAATATCTTTGTTGCATTCCAAGTATATGAACAAATTTTGTTAAATTGGGTAGATTTTTTATGGTGGTGTCTAATAGTTTGTTTTCATTCTGCCTGTTAACTTCTTCCAACTTTGTCATTCTCGTTTGGCACTTAAAAATAAGTAAGTTGTCTTTGGGTTTGCCTCCAGTCTAGCCTAAACCATTGAAGTACTTCCTGTTGCGCACTGTTCTCATTGACCTGACAGGTTGTCTATTTGAAAACCTTACTGTCATCTAGCATAATGTCTGTGAGTATTCTTATAATTCAGACATATTATTTGAAAATTAGGAGGTGTTTTCCCCTTTTTTAAATATGTTTGCCAGGAAAAAAAAAATCAAAGTTATCTTTCCTGTAACCAAATTTTCAATACTAACATTTTCAAAATCTGTGTTTTGGATACTTCATTAAAATGTTAAGTGTTGACATTCTTTCACTTTGGGATCAATTTGTGAAGGTTTTTAAATAGACTACTAATTGCCAAATTCTTACTTCAAACAAGCAGGCACATCTTTGTTTATTGCAACTGCAATACTTTTTGGAGTTGTGTGTTCTAAATTAACATCTAGCCCCCAGTGTTTTCATTTCTTATCATCCAGAATTCTGCAGAACAAGCTGTCTGACCTTGCACTTCAAACATCCTTTCTCAAACATTTATTATATACTTTGTGACCCTTATTTCCTTTTGAATTTCTTCTTTCTCTTTTGGGAAATTTGAGTAACGTGCATCTGTGCAGAGTGAGACAAAGAATACATTTACTTTCTTTTTAGAAATTCTTAGCATTCTATCATTTTTTAGAGAGGGGAGAAAAAGGAATAGAAGACATCTACTTGCTGGCACATTGACTTTGCAGAGTAACCTGTAGGAATTAGGGAATACAAGAAGTATCGAATGATTAAAATATATGACAGATTAGGAAACATGTATCCTGAAGTATTTAGGGTTTTTGTTTAAAAAAATTATATGTATGGCTCTCCATAAAGCATCACTAATGAATTACAGAATTCACTACTGACTAGAAAATATATTGTTTAGGAATAAGAAGGGCAAGGTATAATTTTGAAGTAATATTTGAAGATCTGGCCAGTGGAATACAATAATTTAGGCTATTAAATTACATATTTAAATAATGCTAGCTCCACCTGATCCAAAATTCATGGGACATGGGACAGTGCAAAAGCAAATTTATCATAAAAGTACATTTTAGCAAGCAGATTAATGTAGTATGGAGAAGACATTCTTAAAATGACAGGATATGAAGACCTTGTATATGACATAGCAGAAAAACAGTGACTGAGGCACTGGTAGTCTGGAAGAGCAATCCTCAAACTTCAGTGTACATGAAAAGTACCTGGAAGGTTATCAGCATACAGACATGGGGCCTGACATCTGTAGTTTATTATGACATGTAGGTATTGTGGTGGGGCCTGAGAATTTGTGTTTCTATCAAATTCCCAGATGCTGCTGCTGTTGCATATCATATTTTTGAACTATTGCTGTGGGAGGAGAAAAAAGAGGGCTTTAAAATTTGTCACTTTTATTTTTCCCTTAACTGGACAGTGGAGGTTAAAATATGATTTGAGGATCTGAGACTTGGTGTGTTGAACTGGCAGAGTTCAATTAGCATCCAGCTGATATTCAGTGTAAATATTCAGTAAGTGTTTTCTTGAGAACAGGACTACACTAGATATTTTCGTGGCTATTCTTAGGAGACTTATTGGTGGTAGAGATTCATCAGAAGAATGCATACATACTTACTTTGGAGATATAGGTTCTACGTATCTTGAGAGACATCATTTTCTTTATAGAAGAGGTACATGTTATTTACAAAAAAAAAAAAACCAGAAACCAAAACATTGACCCAGAAGCTAAGCATCTTGAGTTCCATGTTCAGACTGCCATTCTGTCCAGATCTTGCTTTTGGAAAGTTACTCTATCTCTTTAAATTACTTCAGTGTGTGTGTGTGTGTGTGTGGGGGTGTGTGTGTGTGTGTGTGTGTGTTGAACAGTGCCTGTTCTGCTTATGAACAAAGCTGTCTTAATTTAGGGAAAGGTGAAGCATAAGAGGGAAAATAATTGGCTTAAATATAGCAATGGAAACATTGATGATAGATATCTGAAGCTCTTAGTCTTAGGTTTGAGATTTGCCATGGGTATTTTAGCCACCACTAAAGTGAACCAAAGGAAAAGTGAAAAGAAGAAAAAGCCGTATAAGATTGAGAAGGGCAGGGAAAACTTTAGAGTAATCTAAGTAACTAGTAGATTTTTATTTTAAATGTTAAAATTAAGTCAAGTGTTACGTTTAAGTTAAAGGCAAAAGTGCCTAAT